CCCTCTCTTCTTATCAGACACACTCTTGTTTGTTGTGTAATCTTAAATTATCTGTTATCTATCTCAGACTTTGTGGTGTTGAATTTATATTTAGTTGATGATTGTATATGTGTGTATTTTCAGATACTTACCATCTGTCTCCTGGTGGATGTGGTAGAAACTGTATGAACATTCTTAATTCTCTGTTCACTGTTTGTGTAGTGTAGTTCAGAGCAGTTTCAAGTGCTTCCAGGAGCAGGACACTATGCCCAGTGCCCAGCCCCAGGCAAAGCAGAGACTGTGCAGGAGGGGGTGCCATTGGCTGCTGAGTTGGTGGGGACTGGTCATGCCCCCATCTACTAGGAGGGCACACAAACAAGGGATAAATGCACCCACTGCTGCCAATTCCCGTCACATCCTGTGCCTGCAGGCCAATGTACCGACAGCCACTTGCAAAAGCTCAAGATATCTTCACTGCTCCATACCAGCCTAGAGTCTCTCTGTTTTCTTCTCTCTCACTGCTCCTGCTCAGTTCCCTCTTCCAGTCAGCACTGAATCTACCTCTCCGACCTATGCTCTAATGCTCAGGGTTTCAGTATCATCATTTGTATCTATTTCACTAGGTTTCAAAAGTCATTGTTACAGAGGATTGCTCTTGTCATGGACTCCAGAAGACCTGTTCTTATTTGTGATCATCAAAGGGGTCAATCTAAAAGTTTTGCAGAAGTGGATGCTTCCAAGATTAAGTATAAGTAATTGGAGCTATCTAATTAGAAGTAGGATTTAGTGATATCAACTTGTATTTACATCAAGCACATCATTTTTACTTAGGTTATGTGTTTATTTTGGACAGCTTTGGAGCTCTTACTTCAGTGTCTTCCAACTCTGCATCACCTAGCCATAGTTTTCCAAATCACTTAATGAGAACATGTGTATTGTCGACTAGTAATAAGCAGTATTACATTCAAAGTAGAGGGCTCCTGACATAAGCAAACATGATAGTATTCGGCTGAAAGGAAAGACTAAACAGGTGTGGTCAGAAAGTAGATTAAATAGTAATTAATTTGGGAATGGAAATATGGCCTGGAGATGGATTGTGAGGACTCTTGTGTCACAGGCTAAGGGATTGGACTTTTCTTTGGGGCAATCAGGGAGAATTTGAATGGTTGTAATTTTGGGATCTCTTTAAATTCAAGAACAAAGATACCAGTTTGAAGACTAGGGTGGGACTGACTCGAGCCATAGTATTTTCAATAGCCTCATATGTATGTGAAAGTTGGACAATGAATAAAGAAGACTGTATAAGAATTGATGCCTTTGAATTATTGTGTTGGAGAAGAATATTCAAATGTTCCTTAAAAGTCAGGATAGGGAGAGTTTACCTCTTATACTTTAGACATGTTATCAGTAGGAACTCATCCCTGGAGAAGAGCATCATGTTTGGTAAAGTGAAGGATTAATGAAAAAGAGATGGAATGTTATGTTACAGTGGCAGCAGCAATGGGTTCAAGCATAACAACAATTGTGAGGATAACACAGGATCGGACAATATTTCGTTCTGTTGTGCACAGGGTCGCTAGGAATCGGAACTGACTTGATGGCACCTAATAACAACAATGATGGGAGAATTAAGAAACCCAATTTGCAATTTTTATATAAAGAACTTTGAGGTAATGAATTGGAGAGAAAAACAAAATAACTAGAATCAGAGTTACCAATTCTAGGAAGATACTAGTAGACTAAGCATAAGATAATGACTGTTAGGTTGTATTATCAAGTGAATGTTGTTGCTAGGTGCACTTGAGTTTTTTCTGACTCATAGTGACCCTATGCACAACAGAGCAAAACACTACGTGGTCCTGCACCAGCATCACTTTCACTGCTATGTTTGAGTTTATTGTTACACCCTTGTCATTGTGTCAAACCATGTCATTGTGGGTCTTCTTTTTCAATGTCCCTCTACTTACTAAGCACCCAGGGACTGGGCCTTCATGATGACATGTCCACAGTATGTGAGAAAAAAGTTCTTCACTCTCACTTCTAAGGACACTTCTGACTGTACTTCTTCCAAGATAGATTTGTTTTCTCTTCTGGCAGTCCACAGTATATTCAATCTCCTTTGCCACCACCACAATTCTAATGTACAATTCTTCTTTGGTCATTCTTATTTATTGTCCAGCTTTTGTATGTATATGAGGTGACTGAAAATACCATGGATTGGGTCATTTGCCCCTGAGTCTTCAAGGTGACATCTTTGCCTTTTAATACTTTTTAGAACTTTTCAACAGATTTGTTCAGGAAATAAGTACCATGGGAATAAATGAATAAAACAAAACAAAACAAAAACTGCCATCCAGTTGATTTCAACTCACAGCAGCCCTATATAGTTTCCCAGTCTCTAAATCTTTATGAGAGCAGACAGTCTCATCTTTCTTCTGTGGAGTGGCTGGTGGGTTTGAACTGCTAACCATGCAGTTAGCAGCCCAAATCCAAACTCACAGTGCCATTGGGGCTCCTTATCAAGGAAATAGTAGGATTAAAAATTCCAAATATTTTAAATCTGAATTTGAAAAGCTACAATCAACTAATGCTTCCACTAATATTTCTTCTCTGACACTACTCTTTTATGTAAAAATGTCATTGCCATAGAGGTTTTCCTAGTTTAGACACAAGTGTGCTGGAACTTTTAGTAGTATGCTCAATATTTGAGGGCTGTACTTTTCATATATTCAGAGTACCATCTTACTCTTTAAGGAGCTCTGGTAGTGTAGTGGGTACGAGTCAGACTGCTAACCTCAACATCAGCAGTTTGAAACTACCAGTCGTTCTGCTGGACAAAAGATGAGGTTTTCTGCTCCCATAAAGATTTACAGCCTCAGAAACCCTACATAGGGTTGCTATGACTTGAAACTGACTCCACGGCACATAACCACCACCACTCTATTCGCCACGGTCACTATGAGACAGAATTACTCAGAGGTAGTACTTATTTTATTTTTTTATCTAATTCTATCAGTGGTACTGTATGTCACATCAAAGATATTTAAGGGATGATCTGGACATGTAAATGGAGGCCTGGTGGAGCTGCGGGTTAGGCATTAGGCTGACAGGCTTACGGTAGGCAGTTCAAACCCACCAGCCATTCTGAAGGAGAAAGATAAGGTTGTCTGTTTCTGTGAAGATTTATAATTTGAAAATTCTACATAGGGTTGTTATGACTCTGAATCAACTCAATGGCCATGGACTTGAGCATGTAAAGGGTTAACACACTATGTTAGGAATTCTTATGTTGCCATTATTAAAATCATCAAAGATGGGTACTTTTATATCACATTAAAAATAAAATTTTAAAAGTTAACATTTGGTTAAAGAAACAAACAACTTTTCTCTCCAAAATAAATAAATAAATAAATATGGATTTTTAATAACATAAAACTCAAGTTGAATAAAAACAGTTTCTGGATAAAATCTATGTCCCATGAAAAAGTAGGATTTCTAATTGAATACTGTGTTTTAATTAAATAATTACTCATAACTTTAAATAATATTTCTGTCTACACAAAAGCATGTTAAATAGGAAAATGTAGAAAATGGCAGTATCTCGACAAACTGGACTTCAATCTAATATAAAATAAGTATCTTTTCTGTATACCATGAAGAAAATTCTCTTTGTAGCGTCTCTGATCCAGTTCAGGATCTAGAAGGTTTTTCTTCTGTTGTCCAGCGTCGATTGAACTAACAATACATTTGACACTATTCTAGGGACTTGATTGGCATCCTGTTGTTTCTGACACATAGCAATCCTATATAGGGTTTCTGAGACTGTAAATCTTTATGGGAGCAGACAGTCTCATCTTTCTCCTGTGGAGTAGCTAGTGGTTTTGAAATGCTAACATTTTGATTAGTAATCCAGTGCCTAAACTATAGTGCCCACAAGGCAAATATAGTGGCAGTGGTGGTGGCTGTGTGTTGTTGAGTTGGTTCTGACACAGAGCGACCTTGTATAGAGTTTCTGAGGATGTAAATCTTTACAGGAGCAGAAAGCTTCATCTTTCTCTTGCGGAGTGATGGGTAGATTCAAACTACTGACCGTAAGGTTAACAGCTCAGCTCATAATCCACTATAATATCAGAGCTCCTTAGGCATATATGATATCTTTTACATTCTCAAAAGCACATCAAATATGAAGAATTCTTGTAAGACTGATACTCATTTGATCTTAAATTTGCAATAACTTAGAAAAGAGGAGACTCATATTCTTTACTGGTGCTTGAGGAATCCCTCATCAGGGGCTTATAAAGGTCTCCCTGAAGTCCCAGATATTCACACAACATTTTAGGATGAGTTTTTAGGTGTGTGGTTATTGTTCCTACTTAAGAAAATTCCTCAGAGAATCTAACCTTAAAAAAAGGAAAGAAAGAAAAAAGAGAAGCAAATCATAAAAACCTGTGCTAACTATGATTCAAAGGGAAAAAATGAACTTCAGTGAAAGCCAACTTGAGCTGGAAAGACTTGTACACTTAAGTAACCAGACATGTGTAGCCACTTATGAAGCTGTCTGATTACATATGTTTTAAAACATCTGTCAGCAGAATCAGAACTCCACATGCAAAATACAGCCCTCATGAGCATTGTGGAGGTTCAGTTAACTCTGAACAAGTCTCAGAACCTGAGACAAATCAATAAGATGCTATAGGTTGAGCACAGGTTGTTCATGCTTGAGTTGAAGAAAACTTGAGAAGCAGTTCCCAAAGGCTGTGACTCATTTGTGGACATTAATATCTTAAGGACAAAATTGGAACCAACGTTAAAACCTAGGGAGGCCTGAAGAAAGATGTTGCTAAGTGCCAAGAAACAGATTTAAAACCTATAGTTTAACTTAGGGCTTCAGAACTTTAAGCTGAGCCTAACCTCACTCCGTTTTCTATTAAAAACAACAATTAAAAAACAAAACACTCCATGACATTTTCCCATCATTAAATTTTCCCATCTCCAAAATGAAAATTCAATTTCTTTCAAACCTGCAGCATTTGTTCTTCCTCTGAAGACATCGTCATATGCTTTCCACTGTGGCTTCACCTGGTAGGCATGGATGAATACCACAAACACCACCACAAGACACATTAAGGGAACAAGAGCAGCAGTGAACAAAGCTGCATAAATGTTTGGGATGAAACACCTGAAAAAGAATGAGAGAGAAAATAGGAATAGATCACTCAGACAAAATAAATACAAACATGTCTAAACTCAGAATTTATCATTTTGGCATGTCATACTAGCTTTTTGTACCTAGATGTTGGCTAATTAAAATTTTTGGCTTGCCAAATTGAAGCTCTGAGTAGAAAGTATATGAAGAAATCTAGGTCATTCCTCCACAAAAGAGGTTTCATGGAACATTTATCTCTTGAGATGCTCATAAAAATTTAAAAAAGGTTATGATGAAAATGCTATACATGCATGTTATATAATCCTTTTGGCGACTCAGGGTATATATGTATATTTTTTTAAAAGCTATGGAAATTCATTGAGTAAGTAAATCTGCTCTCTGGAATGATACTTTAGTACTGAAGCTCACCATCACAACTTCATGAATGAATGACTAGATCAACTTCTTAACTTTTCCTCGTTTTTAAAATAGGGTTTATCATGATATTTACAATAAAATTAGTTTTGAAGGTGAACTGAAATCATTCACATAAAAGAGTGAATTTTGTTTAACCCACCATTCCTAGACAACTAGATCTTTCCCTGCCTTTCTCATTCTCTGTAACACACACACTCGTGCTATAGAGCTAATGCCTTCTGCAACACATTTTAGGAGTAACTGATTTAATTATTTCTAGCTAATTTTTCAAATTAGTTGGTGGATTCCAGGGTTATTTCATGGTTCTTTTCTATTCCCTTCCTCTATTTAACTCCCAAAAGAAGAAGACTGTTAAGGTTTATGGTTACAGGGCTGATGGTGGTGTCCCTGTGTCCTGTCAAAGGTTGGTCATACTTGTCCAAGCCTCTCTTGACCTCTGTGGTTCCCCAGATTAGAGGGTAACAAGGGCTAAAGTATAGAAGGAGGCCAGGGCACCTCTACATGTGATCTTCCTCCTCCCCACTACCCTTCCTTTTCTTCTCTCCATTTGGATTTTTCTTCCTAGGATGAGCCTAATAGTAGAAATAAAAAATGAAGGCTGATGTAAATATCAGAGCACTAGTAAAAAAGCATAATTTTGACTTGTATTTCAGACTCTATCTTCCTCACCTAAATTTCTCTTGGATATCACATGATAGAAGGCATTATTTGAAGGTAAATTTGAGTATTTCATTATGCCATCTTCACAATATTTCTTTTGAATGCATGAAACTTTTGTCATTCCTAAACTCTACATTTCTCCAAGAGTCATTTACTCTCTTGAAAGAATGAATAATAAGTTTTCTGGTGGAAGCTACACTCCACAATTGTATCTGTCATCACTGGGGTTTTACATAGAACAATGAAACTCAAGGGAAACTTAAACTTCTTGTTTGTTTTCTCACAACATTGGAATTTAAGGTATATGGTTTTAGAGATTTAACTGATAAATATTTTCAAAGGCCATAAAGTTATCTTGCACTTTACATAAATCTACCAAAATCTCAAAATGGAGGACTGGTAAATAGGTTCACAATAGCTTCAATAGTGTTTTGGAGATATATGTCATTTCTTATAAAGGACACCCAAGTAACTTTAAGATCATGATGTGACTAATTATAAAACTTTCATAGTAAGCGGTGTCCCTTAAAATATCATTTCCCCCTAATTTCTGTCTCTCTCTCTCTATATATATATGATATTTGTAATCCTAGATTATGATACAGTCACAAATAACAGATTCTGAAAACAGAAATATATAACTTGATTAAAAGGAAATCTTATAATCCCAAATATAGGTAATCGGGAAACACACATTCTTGAACTTTGGATAATAGTATCTCAATTTTATATTTATAAAAAGAAATATTATTGAATAAAAACCATCATCAGAAGTTATTTTAATGAACACAAGTGCTAAAATGTATGCCTTCTGTAAACATAACACATTTAAAGAGACATTTTAACACACATTTTGCATCTGCAAAAGAGAAGCCATAATCATGAATTTCCTGGCTTTTAGCATTATTTTGACAGCACTGAATTTTTTCCTTACATGACCAGTATGCAGAAAGATCTGTATCTTCCAGGTAAAACCCATAGGATTAAATAAAACAAATAAACACTAATGTCTTTGATCTTGTTAAGCTTGAACCCATTGCTGCTGCCACAATGACAATCCATCTTGTTGGGGAGGGGGTCTTCCTCTTTTTCACTAGCCCTCCACATTATCAAGCATGATGTCCTCTTCTCCAGGGACTGATCTCTCCTGATAATATGTCTGAAGTATGAGAGAGGGAGTCTTTAAGGAGCATTCTGGCTATACTTCTTTCAACAGAGATTTGTTTGTTCTTACAGCAGTCCACTGTAATTTTTTTAATTTAAGTTTTTATTGAATAAGGAAGATCGTAGAAGAATTGATGCTTTTGAGTTGTGGTGTTGGAGGAGAATACTGAAAGTGCCATGGACTGCCAAAAGAACCAATAGATCTGTTTTGGAAGAGGTGCAGCCAGAGTGCTCCTTGGAGGCCAGGATGGCTAAGCTTTGTCTCTCATACTTTGGACATATTGTCAGGAAGGAACAGTCTCTGGAGAAGGATGTCATGCTGGGTAAGGTGGAGGGTCAGAGAAAAAGAGGAAGACCCCCAACGAGATGGCTCAGCCAGGTGACATCATTGATGGCGTCAAGTGTGGCGGCGGTAGTGAGGTTGGCCCAGGATCGGACATTGTTTCATTCTGCTGTGCATGGGGTCGCTATGAGTCAGTTCCGACTTGATGGCACCTGACAACAACAAAAGTTTTCATTGTGAACTGAGTGAAAGTTAACAGGGCAGATCATCATGTTTACATTTTTTTAAAGTCATACAATTAGTTTCATCATAATGATTACAATCCCTTCCATGTACCATCAGTTAATAGTATTTCTCTCTATTCACTTTAGCTCTTTTTTTTAAAAACAAAACAAAACAAAAAAAACACTCATGCATATACAATAATTTACATCACCAAAGGGCACATTCTGCAAGTCTGCCTCATAGCCACTATCTCTTAGTCCTTCTCTTCCCATGAATCTAGAGTCCTCAGCGGGCTCCCCCTCTCTATGTCCCCACCTCTGCCTCCATCTCTGGTGTTCCTCCTTCTCTGATTAAGGTCCTCCATTCCACTTATGCTCTTCTCCCTTGATGGTCCTCCGGTCCTTTGTTTCTGGACTGTAAAATTAACTGCTCCCCATTTTTGTTACAAAACTTCTACCTTTACGATTGTGACCGTTGCAATTAGTCATGATAACAGTAACTTACTATTGAATCATAAAAATCTTATCCCCATTTCTTTTAACCAGACCCATTTAGACAAGATGAAAATTATTTAGTGGGGACACTTTCTTCCCCCTCACACTCTTAAATTAAACTTCATCTTGAAACATTGTAACTTCATTCCTTTATTGCCCCCTCATTGTAGGTAGCCAATGTCTAAGTTGCTCATCCTTATCTACCCTATGTATAGTGGGGAGAGCGTTGATACTTGATGTGAAGACTCCTTCCCTCTCTGTTGGTATTTAGAGTTACTATCTCCAAGAGTATAGGTCAGGTTCATCAAATTGTAGCAATTTACCCTTGATTCCTTTATCAAAAAAAAATTTTTTTTATCAAGTTCTGATTATCAAGCTATTGAGGCTAGGTCAAATGAGTACTACCTGCAAGTTTGGGTGTTCTTGTGCATCTCCCCTCACTTCATATCAGCTGGATGCTTCACTCACAGCTCTAGCCCTCTGTGGCTAAGTCCTTTTCCATGGGCTCAGGTGTCCCCAGCTCTCGCCACACTTTGGACCGACCAGCCCTTCCTCTTCTCTTTCTCATTTCCAGGTCAATGGGAGTCTATGGAACGTGGTTGAACTCAGCACTTTCTTCATAGCTGCCTTTCCCCCCTTCCACTCACCAGTAGACTAATATGGTCACCAGCAAGCTTACATTCCTGCTCATGTGTTCCTTTTGAATTTCAGTCTTAGACTGGGGTTTGTCCTTAAGGGACTCGATTACTTGCCTTGATGGCTTCCTGGTGAACAGCATGTTTATTCTTGCAGTAGTCAGTTATACTGACATTTTTGTTCAGGGTTTTTCCTGATGATCTTTCTTTGAAGATGTATCTTCTGTTGCTCTAGCTGTTCCAGGCTGGTCTGCTTGTCCTTTCTAGTGGGAATGTCCCCCCTCAGAAGGTTCTGGATGGGATTCAGGATTCCACCAACCATCCTATACTTTGCAACACCTCAGCAAGAGTCCTATTTTACTGGGCAAGTTCTAGAACCCCTTTTAGGTATTCCAATCAGTTATAGGCTGAAGATGCATTTACAAATTTTCTGTAATCATGTTTCCCAACATTACTTTCTATCTCACTCAGGTATCTATTTTACAATAGTAGGCAAGGGAAACCAACATTCATAAGACAGTCAAGCATCTTAGTATTATTTCCCCTTTTCAAACAATGCCTAGATCCCTGTATCATAGAGCCCTATTGTTCTAAGGTTCAGCATACATCACTATTTACGTCTGTCCCGCTCAGCCCATACAAACCTGTTTCAGTGTTCCCCTATCTACCTTGTTCTTCCACCTCCTCCCCCTCTATGGTACTTTTAACATTCTTCTGCAACACCATGACTCAAATGCGCCAATTCTTCTATAGACTTCCATTGTTGTTGTTGTTATTGTTAAGTGCCATCAAGCTGGTTCCAAATCATAGTGACTCTATACAGGGTTTATGAGGAGCAGCTGTTAAGCTTGCAGTTCAAACCGACTTTGCAGTGCAGTGCATTATCCTCCAGTGCCACACCAGGACTCTTTGGTCTTCCGTAGAACTCTCACATCCATATGAAGCTATTGAAAATAATGCCATGGCTTGGGTCTGGCATATCTCAGTCCTTGGACAGATTTCTTTTGTTTTTCCAGATAAATCTACCTAGTCATAAAACTAGTTCCATTTTCCCTTTGTTTCTCCATTGTCCTGAAAATTATGGCCTCTCATAAGTACAGGTCCACTGAAGGTGGCTCAAGCTTGTTGTCTGCA